TCCAAAGAATAACTTAGAAGCTTTACTGGGTAGGCAAAGTTCTTACATACTCTCACTATCCTTCACTCTCACAAACCTTCAGCTGAAGAATTTGCTCTTAAAACAAGAGCTGAGTGACTTGTTTGATTGTTTTCATTCTAAGAGGTGCTATCTCAGTCTTATTGGAGTTGTTTAAGTACTGAGCTAAGAAGTAAATGCCTGCAGGATCACTTCATAATCACTGATTAATGTATACACTTTTCAGTGGTTTTTTGGTGATGTTTTGCTGACAAGAAAAGGATTGATAATTAGCTACTGCACTTTGAAAATATCTTGACTATGTTTTACATAAACTATTGGGCAAAGTGACAATTTACAAGATCTAGAAATTTCAAATTGGGCAGTTAGCTGCACTGGCAGTGAGATCCATAGATGGATTCCTGATCCCACGCAGGAAACATATTTTTGGGTTTGGATCTTCATCCACTTTCTTTCCAGCAGATAAAAATGCAATAATAGCTTTAACATATATTAAACTACGTTATTAAGACAAGTTCAGAGTTAGGATCTGGTTATCTTTCCTATATAAATATACCTACATTAATACATAGATTGTGTCCATCTATTGTGTTTAATCTGTGTGCCAGTGGACTAGAAAATCAAGTGGTATGCTTCATCTACAGATCTTATGGAAAATTTCTCTAGAAAGGCAGTGTTTCATTACTGAAGCTGATTCATAAGAAGGATCTGCATGCTATGGCAACCACAACTGTTTTTTAGTGATAATAATAACAACTCATTTAGCAATGAAGAAAAGCTAAACCAAGCACCCTACAGCAATTTTAGGTAAAACAACAGAGAAAGAAATCGGTGACCATAACCATCTGCAAGCCGTGGGACAGAACAGTAACCTTATACTTCTTTGGAAAAAAGAATCAGCTTTAATTGTAATAGTTCTTTTGTACTAATTGAGTGACTCAATTAAATGGCTTTATCTTAGATCTTGAGTGTACTCACATCTGCATTTTGGCTGCCTCTGTCTCCTGATCTGCAAGGAATCACAGGTGACAATATAAAAATAGAAACAACCTAAGAGATTTTTGAGATCCTGTGTTATTCTTGCAGGTATCTTTTTTCATTTCCATCCATGTGTACATCTTTCTTTAGAACTGGATCAAGCAGCTGAATCTTTTTTTTTTTTTTTTTTTTTTTTTTTTTTTTTTTTTTTTTTAACACCCCATTTTTTTTTTTTTTT